AGTATCACACGCTTGTTTTATAATGATAATCTGTTTTTCATAAATGAGTTTATAGTTAACGGATTTTTAGAAAAGAAATATTTTGTGTGGCATCCCGAGATATGTTTCGCAAAATAAACGTAAACTTTAGAAAGGATTTGCGAAAATCGCACTCTGATTTTAGTAAACTAGCGGGGTGTTACAAATTGGTATCAGAGCACGTTTTTGTGTATCTGAATACTTTTAAGTCAAAAACTTTCAGAAAAGACCCGACCACGCTACGCTCACGCCTCGTCGACTATCAGGTAAGTGCTGAGTTTTAGTTTAAATATATATTTAAATGAATACTTAAGTCTATGCTCAGTAGAGGGTACCAGATTATTGACCCTAGAAACCAGTAAGATGCTCGAGTATTTTCAGAACTTAGTCGATTGTCCTAGTCATTTGATAGTTCGACTTTAATATTCTCGGGTTATTTAGCGACTCGTCAAGAGATCTGTGTATTTAAGTAATCAGTCCGTTAATCTTTTATGTTATTTGACCATGTTAAATATTTTAATGTCCAGATGCCTCCTCGTAGAGAGCCAGACCACCAGAAACTCCCACAGGCCACAGTGGTCGCTTTGTTCCGCGACTACTATCCAGAAAAATTTTCTGGCCAAGGAGATCCTCGTGTAGTAGATGAATGGGTTCAGGGTCTCGAGATTATTTTCGAGGTCATGAACTGCCCCGATCGTTATCGCATGTTATGTGCCCAGATCCAGCTGACTGGTGATGCCAGACTCTGGTGGCAAGCCTATTGGAGTATGCGTCCCGGTGAAAAATACGGTTGCACGTAGGACCAGTTCAAGGAGTTGATCCGAGAAAAGTATTATCCCTCGTATTACCGAGCAGACATGGAGCGCCAGTTCTTGGCACTCACCCAGGGTACTCGTACTGTCGACGAGTACGAAAGAGAGTTCACCCGTCTCGGAGCCTTTGTACCTGATCTTGTGGGTACGGAGGCGAAGAGACCCCACCGTTTCACTGACGGACTTCGCCCAGCAGTCCGCCACAACATCGTAGGCCACGGCGTCCAGACCTACGCCCGCGCAGTTGCCATTGCACAGGAAGTCGATGCCAGTATCCGACGTGAAGCCGTCCAGACACCAGCCCAGCCAGTTGCTCAGCTACCAGCCCAGCCTAAAGTTGCCCAACCGTCAAAGAACCAGAAGAAGAGGAAGTACAGAAACACTCTTGATGACTGGAGGACCCGTCCCAGACAATATCCAGAATGCCCAACCTGCGGAAAACACCATCGTGGAGAATGCCTCGTGGGCCAGAATGTTTGTTTCTTTTGCCGCCAGCCAGGTCACTTCAGCAACAACTGCCCAGAACGACTACAACAACAACCGCAACAACGTCAACCGCCACAGCAACCTCAACAACAGCAACTTCAACAACAACAGCCCAGGCAGCAACCACCACGACCACAGCAACAACAACACGGCAGACAGCAGGCCCATGTCTTTGTATTTGACCAGAGGGAGGCCGACCAGCACCCAGGTACCATGTCCGGGATGATTATTCTTAATAATGTGCCTGTATATGCCTTATTTGATACCGGAGCGACCCATTCTTTTATATCACGTCGATGTCTCGAAGCTATTGGGGTTCGTTCCACTACCGCTGTCGATCCTCTCGAGGTGAGTTTAGCCTCGGGAAGAAAGATAGTAACTGACGCTAGAGCCACCGATCTCAGCCTTTCCATCGGCGGCCGTATTCTGATTACTGATACTTATGTTATCGAGATGAGGGATTTTGACCTCATACTCGGTATGGATTGGCTAACTCGATTTCACGCAGATATTCGATATTACGACCGGGAGATTACTCTTTATCTTCCGGGAGATGATCAGATCACTTATTACAGCTCCAGGACTCGTACTCTGCCACATGTTATTTCTATGGCGAAAGCCAGAAAGATTCTTCGACGGGGTGATTGCCAGGGTTATTTTGTAAGCCTCGTTGGAGATGAGCCAAAGACACGTTCACCTCATGATATTCCTATCGTTCGTGAGTTCATGGACGTGTTTCCGGACCAGCTTCCCGGAGGTCCACCTTGCCGACAGGTGGAATTTTCTATTGATCTTATCCCTAGATCCGGACCCGTTTCAAAGGCACCGTATAGAATGGCGCCTAAAGAATTGCAGGAATTAAAGACCCAAATTCAAGAGTTGCTGAATCTCGGTTTTATACGACCGAGCGTTTCTCCTTGGGGAGCACCAGTCCTTTTTGTCAAGAAGAAGGACAGATCTATGCGTATGTGTATCGACTGCCGGGATCTTAACCGGTTGACGATCAAGAATAAATATCCGCTTCCCAGGATTGATGATTTATTTGATCAGCTGAGGGGTGCCTGCGTGTTTTCCAAGATTGATTTGCGTTCAGGCTACCATCAGCTGAAAATCAAGGAGTCAGACATACCCAAGACAGCTTTTCGTACGAGATACGGTCACTTCGAGTTTGTGGTTATGCCGTTTGGCCCTAGTAATGCCCTGACAGTATTCATGGACTTGATGAACCGTGTATTTCATCCTTTTCTCGACCAGTTTGTTATTGTCTTCATTGATGATATTCTTATTTATTCCAAGAGCCAGAAGGAGCACGAGGAGCACCTGAGGGCTGTTCTTTCGACCCTTAGACGCGAGATGTTATATGCAAAGTTCTCCAAGTGCGAATTTTAGCTTCAGCGAGTGGCTTTTCTTGGCCACATTATTACTTCAGCAGGTATTGAAGTTGACCCTTCCAAAATTGCTGCAGTCAAGAATTGGTCAGCACCAAAGAATCCATCCGAGGTTCGTAGTTTTCTCGGCCTTGCAGGTTATTATCGCAGATTTATTGAGAGGTTGTCGAAGATTGCACTCCCTTTGTCTCAGCTGACGAGGAAGTCTGTAAAGTTCGAGTGGACAGACCGTTGTGAGTCAAGTTTTCAAGAGCTGAAAAGGAGGCTTACGACGGCACCAGTGTTGACTATACCAGATCCTTCAAGGAGCTTCACCATCTATAGTGATGCTTCGAGGCAGGGTTTGGGATGTGTACTTATGCAAGATGGCCAGGTCGTTGCTTATGCGTCACGCCAGCTTAAAACACATGAACAGAACTATCCGACGCACGACTTGGAATTAGCTGCAGTTGTTCATGCCCTCAAGATTTGGTGACACTATCTATACGGCGGTCAATGCGAAATCTTTACTGATCATAAGAGCTTGCAGTATATCTTTACTCAGAAGGAGCTCAACATGAGGCAGCGCCGTTGGTTAGAGCTCGTCAAGGATTACGATTGTACGATCCAGTACCATCTGGGAAAGGCGAATGTTGTTGCTGATGCCCTAAGCCGCAAGGTGAAGGGTGACTTGACATACGTTGTTACCCAGCAAAGCCAGTTGATTCATGAGTTCGCCCAGATGCGGATTCAGGTGATTGATGCACTTCCTACTGCCAGTACGGGGAGTGTGAATTCCATGCAGGTTCAGCCGACGCTGAGAGAGAGAATCCAGCAAGAGCAGACTTCAGATGAGTTTATTCGTACGATTGATGCCAAAGTTCGTGCCGGAGGCGTCGAGGGATTTCACCGAGGCACTGATGGGGCCTTGGAGTTTCGTGGCAGGATTGTGGTGTCGAAAGTCGAAGCATTGCGAAAGAAGATTTTATCTAAGGCTCATACTGCACCTTATCTAGCCCATCCAGGTAGTACAAAGATGTACCATGACTTGAAAGGGGCGTTTTGGTGGAAAGGATTGAAGAAAGACGTGGCCGACTTTGTAAGAAGATGTTTGACCTGTCAGCAAGTCAAGGCCGAGCATAAGAGTCCCATAGGCCTTCTACGACCACTGCCGATTCCGAGGTGGAAGTGGGAAGAGGTTGCGATGGATTTCGTTACGGGGTTACCAAGGTCGTCTGAACATCACGACGCTATCTGGGTCGTGGTCGACAGATTGACTAAGGT